GTGCTAACCACTGAGGCACTTTGCCCTCTCACAAAAATAAAACATCACAATGACAGTTTTTTCTTATCATGCAGCCTTAATTACTTTGGGGGCACGAACTCTTCCTGACTATTAGATTAATTAAAGCTGTCGGCGCTGCATTTGGTCAAAAGTTAAAGAAGCTTGTTGAAAATAGAAGAAACACGAGGCAGCCTCGGTGTCTCCGGAGAGTCTTCTCTCATCTCACCGTGCCCTCAGAGCAGATTGGGTTCACACTGAGTGCCGATGGAGTTTGTGCAGGTACTCCACCGAGGGTTGAACCTGCATGTGGAGGGTTCACAGTCCTCAGCAGCAATTCTGCCTCACAGCTCCTCTTCCAGCTCTGTCCTTCCCCAGGGCAAAATCCAGCACACACAGGGCAAGAAATGAGGGCAATAAAATTCATCTATAGAACAACTACCTGGAAAACATGAGTTATTAGAGAACCCCCCATGTTTGAAAAGTCAGAAAACACACACATCTACAAGCGCTCTCTCTGTCAGAAATGATGGATTTCAGCATTTGACTGCAATATCCACATCACTGCAACTGGTCGGGAAGGTCAGGGGTTAACCCAGCCGAGGGTGAAGACGGCTGCTTCATCAGCACCACGGGGATGGTGGTGGTGGTGGTGGGGGGGGACGAAAGGAGGACAGAGAGGAAAGAGAGAAAGTCACAGAAAGTAGGTCAGTGAGAAAACGTGATTAGCCACTAAACAAACGACACCGGCAGCAAACTTGTCCGCCGGCTCCGGCCTCCCGTATCTTCCCCTCACGCGAGCCTTCCCCCGCGCAGGATTCACATTCGTCCCCCATCCGAGACGCCTAACTGGCTGACAGAGTCGGCCTGACTGCGAGGACCGGTTTGCAGAAGCGTTGCACTTGCTGGCTCGCTAACACACACACACACACACACACAAACAGACACCTCCTCTCCCCCTCGCTGCCTTACATGGTGTTAGAACGGGTTGCTAAGCGCAGCCAATATTTCACAAACGCAGCAAAAACAGCCACCCTGATATCCTGCTACGCTGCCATCCTGGACAGCAGAGACGCCGCCTGCTCCGGCTCCTTCCAGGAAATGCGCTGAAATCTGGCTCTGCGGCTCTGTTATGATAAACTGAGCCAAAATTTAAAAAAAAAAAAGTATGGTGATGCTGGAAGATCAATGAGCTGACAGTGGCTGAGAAAACCAAACAATTGAACGTCTCTCTGTTTTAATATCACTCCATTCTTGCCTAAAACAAGATGAATTAAGACATTAAAAAGGAGTTTTTAGGAGGATACACACTCATCCTGGACCATTCAAAGCACTGATCTGACCCAAGTAAAGACAAGGACTCTGCAGGTGGAGGGAACTATTTCACATTCTGACCTGAGTGTTTCCGACAACTTCTGACTCTGCTGCGTTGCCTCTCGGGGGTCTTGGGCCCGCCTGCTGGCCCAGAGAGGGGATGTGGGTCTTGAGCGGCGCCGGAGGCAGAGCTAGAGCTGACGGCCTGCTGGGGGTCTGGGGGATGGGCAGGGCGCTGTGCACCGGTTTGGGTTTGGGGAGTCCTGACTTCATCTTTGAGGCCACCAGGATGGCTGGCATCTTCTCCTCGCGGCCGCCTAATGAGTGCACGCTCCCCTCCCTGACAGCCAGAGATGGAAATCCAGCCTCCAGTCAGAAAGGATTCCTCGTTTACCTTCTGTGAGTGTGAAGGAGTTCAGTTCACACCTGATCCTTCCACTTGATTTAAGCAATGTGTGCGATTTGCTAGAGTCCAGAGTGAAGCTGCTCCTGCTGGATCTCAGCAGGAGGCTGAGCTCCCCAGCAGGCAGTGGAGGTTTAAAAACCCCTCGATCCCACCTGTTTCCTGCTGCCAAGTAGCTTCAGCTTAGGTTATTTCATGTAGAAAACCCTCAAAGTTTTCTCTAAAAAACACCCCCCCACAAACGTCCAGATGGAAATTCACTCTGCAAAGTCCAAGAAAAGAAAATCAAAAACCCCACTTCACAGTGAGAGGAATCCCCAGTTGCCTGGTGGCAGAGCGAGTGTTCCCTTCCATTTATCTCCAGCACTGAAGCGAGAGTCAGCGATTGGCGAAAAGGATCCTACAGGAGGCAGAGCGGTTCCTCTCCCACGGAGCCCCGTTAATTACACCATCGCTTCAGGACGACAGGAGGAGAGGCCAGGCGTTCTCGAGGAGAGGAGGGAAGGCAGCGGAGATGGAGATAAAAAAGAAGAAAAAGGCAGCAGCGGCACAGCGACCGTGTCCTTCAGCGACTGCTCAGCCTGTGACTGCACAGCCTGAATCACAGTCCGCTGCCTCTCCCTCTCCCTCGCTGGTAAGTCGTGGTTAGCAGCAGGTGTGGCTTAGATCAGGGCTGACATATGTGGGGAAAGGCTCAACACATTTACTCAGTGTGCTCCTGCAGCCTGCCTCGCTCCTGTTCTCTCTGTCTTCATTTCATATCACACGAAAACAGCCAATTTAACCAAACTATCTCGTTGCAGTTTTAGTTGCTGCAGTGGGACTTCCTATTGATCCCATGAGCAATAAGGGATCATGTCTGAAAATGAGGCAAATCACTCCTCCAGTATCCACGTGGGTCACATTATGTAATGTAATTTCCACAAAAAGCAACAACATTAACCTGCTTTGACATGAATCTGGTTTCATCTAAGTAGTACATTAGACAAAAACATAATTTGTGCAAAGCCTGACATGCACTGCCAAAAACAAAGTAAAGTAAAGGTGGAAATCTGGTAGCAAAAAAAAAAAAAGTAAAAAAAAGGTATTACTAATACTGTAACAATCAAAATCTGTAAAAATTGTGAAATAAATTAAAAATAAATAAATAAAATAAATAGTAATTTATTTATTTATTTATTATTATTTTGTCAATCCAGGTAACATGTAAGTTAATACTTTTATTCTGTGATTTAACTGGATTTTATCTGCAATTTAACAAAACAGGAAAATTCAGCAAATATACACTTTAAAAAATATGTTTTAGTTTTTCAATCCTGAATATTTCTAATCTTGCTTTTGAATAATGGCAAATATTTGCAAAAATATTGTTATTTTTGCTGATTTAAATGCAGGAAAACAATGATGTCATTTTACAGACACGTAAATTCAAAAGAATAAAAAAACTATTTGTAAAAAAATAAATACAGATTTTATAATTAATATTTGTAATGTAATAAAACAGGAGGAAAAAAGTAACATAATGGTAAATTATTAAAGAAAATAAACAAAAATTGAAGGCGCAAACCGGTTAAAAAGAGTAAATTTTTTACAGTGTGGACATAAAAACTGTCTAAACATAAGAAATGATGCACATTTAGCTCAGACTGCAACAGCTCAACAATTCTTAGATGGACATCAGTGGAAATCTGTGCGGATGTTCATGTTCCCCAGAGGAGAACAGGAAAGTTTTCCCTTTTCCAGTGAAATATTTCTGCATTTCATAGATAAATTGATAAAGACACATCCTCATGGCTTCGGTGATCCCCTGACTTTCCCTCCAGTGCCACCACGAGATCAACATTTGTGACGTTGAGTCAAATATCTCAACAACAGGTCTGTGGATTGTGGTAACATTTGGTAAAATACACAGTCTTGATAGACCCCCTTCTCTGTATTCTCTCTGACTCTCTGACTGTACTCTCTCTGCGACTCAAGTGAGCTCCCCCATTTTAAATATATGAGGACGGCCAATTAGTGGACCGGTGTCAGATCAGCCCGGCTCCCGGCAGGCGCCGCCGAGCTGCCGACGCGTGGACTCAAATCCTGCCGCAGAAGTAAAGAAGAAAAGGCAGAACGCTGGAGAGAGGGGATTTGCATTTTCCCCTCTGCTCATCCATCACCACTTAATTTGAGAATTTACATAGCAGTTTGTATTTAAATCAAGATCTGTAAACAGTTAACTCCCCAAACTAGCATATACTTAAAGAGTTCAGACAGATTTGCATTGGTTACCGTGTGCATTCAGCGGAGCGTTCACTCCTTCAGAGTATTTGGCCAAGAGAGAGACACTGTCATTCTAATATACACACTGAGACAAATACTTAAGTGTGAAAGGGTTTCCAATAGAGCTCTGGTGTGAAAGGAATAAGAGTATAACCCAAATAATAATATGAGTATCACCATCGTCGCCGTGTAGTTTAATCTATGAAGGTCACAACACCAGAAATTTGTGTGTCAGCACCAATTCTCTACAGTGGAATTCTACACCAAACAAAATGAATGTATATCAGCTTAAGGTCTTCTTCAGTGCTGCATACAGAATGCTAATGCGAACGCAGCATTTTATTTTCACAGGTAACAACAATGGTAGCTTACCAATTCACATCTGGCTATTGTTGTGATGCAGCAGCATTCATAGAGCTGCTCATTCCCCGTGTAAGTAGTGGTTCTTGTGCCTTTTGTCGTTGGATCGTGATTGGAAAGCTGAACACAATAACATTAATGCATGAACGAACTTTAGTGGCAACTCATCCAACAGTTTTTGTTCGGGGTAACCAATGTGGTTTTTGTCAGGACTGATACCAATAATTAGGAATCAAGGAGACTGTAGCTGTCGTCTTATTTTATATGTGTTCAAGTTTGATTGGTCGCTGCTGACACCCTATCTGACACCTTATCTGTCCCAGGAACAAACCTTTGGGATAGATCTAGGACAGTTATAGAGATTGATCGCTGACATTTAGAGCCGATGCACATTTTGCAATGAAATTCATAACTTTGGGGTTAAAAATTTTGATCAACACCATCTCGAACACTAACCTTTTATGAGATGTTTACTCACGTTTTACATGTTTAATTGAAAGAGACTTCTAAAAAATGCATCCTTCAGTCTTGATCGGTTGGTTTTCATAATCAATCGGACAGTGCTGTGGACATTGGTAAAAGCCCCAGAATTCATTTGTTTTATTGAGAATCAGTTAGAAAAAAAAAAGCAACTAATTGGAAAACTGCTGGATGTCAGATCCTATAATCGGCCAGGTTAGTTTCTAGCTAATCACTCAGTAGGCCAGGTCTTCTACATCCTCTTTGACACCAGTGTTGTGGTGTTGACATTTCACCAGATAAGCAAAAACTTTGACCTGCTTGTGGCCCGATCAGTGTAGGATCCAACCTCCGTGGACCATGAACATCTGTATGAAATCCAGTGGAAATCCTCTCAGTAGCTACTCAGATATTTCAGTCTGAATCAACCATCTCACCAAACATGTTTTTTGTCTCAGACCCACACCGCTGTCAGAGCAAAAACTGTCGTCATCTTAACAAACCATTTGCTCAAAGCAGCTGCTTACAGTGAACAATCCAAACCAACAAATTACCTGAAATTACCGACATTCGAGACACGAGAAACTGTAAGTCACTAACAGAGGGTTGCACTTCAGTGTTCCAGTTCAATGTGGAAAAGACCATCTGAGTTCATCCTGTAGGAGCTGTCGGACGTAACACACACACACACACACACACATGCACACACACTCCTCACATAGACTTAATAAGAGCAATATTTAATCCATAAGAGGACGTGTTCAGTAGGTTAATCTTAATCCTGTTACAGTAATCCTAAATTATGCAAATACTAATATCTGATTATGATTTAGTGTCACTTAAGTGTGTGTGTGTGTGTGTGTGTGTGTGTGTGTGTAGAGACAGACATATGAGGTCGAGCTCAGACTTTCAACGGTTCTTGTGATTTAAGATCCGCACGTCCGCTTCTTTTTAATATTTCCAGTCAGAAACCTCCAGTCAGGCCTTGAGTGGACAAACATCAACATGAGTTTCACACATTAACATGTTTTTTTTCTGCATTGCTTAAAATATATCTGCCCACACTGGATGCATCACAGAAAACACATTTTTATTGATTAGCCCATCGAGGTCAGGTGAACTACACGTTTTCTTTAGAACATCTTTAATTAATTCAAGGCTGTAGCTCACAAAATGGAACTACAGGTAGCATGTTTTTTTCTCTTGAAACCAGGTGCATCAGTCGCCGTCTGATAACTGCGTGCCACAGATTTCCCACCTCGTCAGCTACGAACCGGCGGTGAGTGAAACGCCAGGAGGCCTCTCTAATCCCAAACACCCACATCCTGACTTCACAACACGCCAGAAATCTTTGAAACATACAGGAAAATACATTAACTCCACCCCGCCTGCCTCGGGTTTCATCCCTCTCGTTTGGAAAATGGAAAGAAGAGAAATAAACACGGCATAATAACGGAAACTTTCATTGTTTTCCGACTCTCCTCCGCTGATGCCGAACGCGTCCCAGACCCTCGTAGATCACAACGCTTCACAGAGAAAGGAAAAATATGTGATTTATGTAGCAACCTTTGAAGATACCTGATGACAGTCCAGTGCAGTCTAATAATAGAGGCCGTTTGGCAGTAAATGGGCGGTATTGACAGTAATAACTAGGACACCCACTGCCTCGCTCTGCTGTATGTTTACACTGTATTTCTTCTTAGAATAATAAACATGCGTGAGGGGTAGATGGTGGGTGTTCGCTGCCAGCTCCGTAGCTGTGCAGAGATTAATGTCAATAGAAATTATACATTAACTCCATGGACGGTGCACT